CCCTTCATAAGGACCCTTTTCATCGAATCCGCTCCAATTAAAGTGGGAGAGACAGACACCCGCTAGCCACCTTATGCAACTAGTGCATGTCAGTCGGTGGAACCTGTCTCACGTAAGCGTACGTGTAAGGTCGGTCCGGGCCGCTTCATCCCACAATACCGCCGAAGCAAGATAAGACTAGTAGCGGCAAGAAAGTTGACAACATCTACGCCCACAACAAATTGTGTTCTACTCATGCAATAGAGAACTACGCATAGACCTAGCTCATGATGACACTGTTGGGGAACGTTGCATAAAATAAAAATTTTCATACGCTCACCAAGATCCATCTAAGAGTTCATCTAGCAATGAGAGAGAGAGATGCATCTACATACCCTTGTAGATCGCGTGCGGAAGCATTCAAGAGAACGGGGTTGAGGTAGTCATTCTCGTCGTGATCCTACCACCGGAGATCCTAGCGCCGAACGAATGGCACCTCCGCGCACGTACTGTCAGCGTGACGTCTCCTCCGTCTTGATCCAGCAAGGGGAAAGGAGAGATTGATGAAGATCCAGCAGCACGACGGCGTGGTGGTGGATGCAGCAGGACTCCGGTAGGGCTTCGCCAAGCAACTGCGGGATGAGGAAGAGGTGTAGCAAGGGAGGGAGGCGCCAAGACTTCAGGGTGCGGCTGCCCTCCCTCCCCCCCTTTATATAGGCCACCTGGGGGTGGCGCCGGCCCTGGAGATCAGATCTCCCAAGGGGGGCGACGGCCAAGGGGGGAGGCTTGCCCCCCAAGGCAAGTGGGGTGCCCCCCACCCCTAGGGTTTCCAACCCTAGGCGCAGGGGGGGCCCAAGGGGGGGGCGCACCAGCCCACCAGGAGCTGGTTCCCTCCCCACTTCAGCCCACGGGGCCCTCCGGGATAGGTGGCCCCACCCGATGGACCCCCGGGACCCTTCCGGTGGTCCCGGTACAATACCGGTAATCCTCGAAATTCTCCCGATGGCCAAAATAGCACTTCCTATATATAATTCTTTACCTCCGGACCATTCCGGAACTCCTCGTGACGTCCGGGATCTCATCCGGGACTCCGAACAACATTCGGTTTGCTGCATACTCATATTCATACAACCCTAGCGTCACCGAACCTTAAGTGTGTAGACCCTACGGGTTCGGGAGACACGTAGACATGACCGAGACGGCTCTCCGGTCAATAACCAACAGCGGGATCTGGATACCCATGTTGGCTCCCACATGCTCCTTGATGATCTCATCGGATGAACCACAATGTCGAGGATTCAAACAACCCCGTATACAATTCCCTTTGTCAATCGGTATGTTACTTGCCCGAGATTCGATCGTCGGTATCCCAATACCTCGTTCAATCTCATTACCGGCAAGTCACTTTACTCGTACCGTAATGCATGATCCCGTGACCAAACACTTGGTCACTCTAACTCATTATGATGATGCATTACCGAGTGGGCCTAGTGATACCTCTCCATAATACGGAGTGACAAATCCCAGTCTCAATCCGTGTCAACCCAACAGACACTTTCGGAGATACCTGTAGTGCACCTTTATAGTCACCCAGTTACGTTGTGACGTTTGGTACACCCAAAGCACTCCTACGGTATCTGAGAGTTACACGATCTCATGGTCTAAGGAAAAGATACTTGACATTGGAAAAGCTATAGCAAAACGAACTACACAATCTTGTGTTATGCTTAGGATTGGGTCTTGTCCATCACATCATTCTCCTAATGATGTGATCCCGTTATCAATGACATCCAATGTCCATAGTCAGGAAACCATGACTATTCTATTGATCAACGAGCTAGTCAACTAGAGGCTCACTAGGAACATGTTGTGGTCTATGTATTCACACGTGTATTACGATTTCCGGATAATACAATTATAGCATGAATAAAAGACAATTATCACGAACAAGGAAATATAATAATAATCCTTTTATTATTGCCTCTAGGGCATATTTCCAATAGTCACATGACTTGTTTGTCAGTAATTCTTTGGACATCAGAAACAGTCACCTAAATGCGAGGTATCTGCGTGGAAATTGCGTACTTTGTTCCTTGAGCGAGTCAGAGTAACCTCAAGTTGATCTGTTCCTTGAGCTGGTCTTTGATAGAATTGATGGCGCACTGCTGCTTGTAATAGTCATCCACTGATTCGTGTGTCATTTAATTTCTCTGCTGTCAAAGTGTTGTTGGGTGTCCTAATCGCTAGAACTATCAGCCATAACTTGGGTGGCTGGGGGCAGGGGCGGATCCACTATTGGTCATGGGTGTACAGATATACACCCAAAATTTACTGCAAACTTTGGGAAGGGGCTTACAATTTGGATTTGTTGCACCAATTATACTGTAAAGGGTTTCCTTACAGTCTTTCTGTCAAAAAAAAATTACTGCAAATAAATGCCTACATATAGGTATATGACCAAAATACTAAGAGTACTACTCTGAGAGATTACACAGCAGCTCTCGTGCTGGCAAACAGGCTAATAACAGCCCATCGGCAGTAGTGGCACAGCCCACCAACCAGCAGCCCAAGAGCAGCAACGTAACCTCTCCGCTCAAAAAACAAAAAAGCAACGTTACCTCTGCCCTCACGTACCACTACACGAGAGATTGGTTGGCTCCTTCGCTAGAGAGGAAGGTAGAACAATGACCTGGGTTGGATTTGGTCCTCCCAGAGCTGTGGAGCTTGCTGTATCAGAGTGTAACATTGCTGGGGTTCAGATCCTGGAGAGTAACCTGCTACATGCTACCGAAGGCTCATAATGTCGAGCTGTTAACCTTGCAACGAGTGACTCATGAATAATAATGCAGTACAGTCAGATTTAGATCTGAATCGTGACGTGATAGTTTTTATGTTACATAGTTGCTGAGTGATGATGCGACAAAGTCAAATCGGATTAGGTACAACCTTGTTGATTAGCATGTTTTATAGTAGATACCTGCCACTAGCATATTTAATCTTGTTGATTGAGACCTGCTAGTTATTAGAGACAACCATTTGGTGGGAAGTTGGGTACAGAAGATTCCCGGACTTTGATTGGAAATTCTGGATTGAAAATGTTATTACATTTTTTGTGTGGGTCCCTCTCTTTTGTGGGAAAAATATTTCTTTTTTGTGGATTTCTAGCCACATGGCTCATTTAAATATCATAAACCGCACCGTGTGGAAATTACTCCAGTTATGATCTCAGGATTATTACAAAGGGAAACAGGGGAAGCTCAAGGCAATCGTCCATTGAGTCAGTCTGTCTTTGGTATAAAACAATAAATGGTGGTCTCTCGCCAGCAAACTTGTGAGATAACCATAAGAAATTCGACGCGTCGCTACTTCTGAATAAGACCAAAATATGGGATAGCATATCGTAGACCATATCAGCTACTCTCGCTGGTTATTCTTATTGTTGTTCCCATTCGCTAGCTAGCTGTTTCCTCCCTTGTCCAACCAATATGGCTGCTGAGATTGGGCATCTCGCCCGAGGAGCTGCAGCAATCCTTTGCCTGCTGATTTTCCATGTAGCACCATCTGATTCCCATGCCCAAGTGAGGATATCAGGCGGGAATGGAACCTGCATCAGCAGGGAGCGGGGCGCGCTTCTGTCCTTCAAGGCAAGCCTTTTGGACCCTGCTGGCCGTCTCTTGTCATGGCAAGGCGAAGATTGTTGTCAATGGGAGGGAGTCTGGTGCAGCAGCAGAACAAGCCATGTCATAAAGCTTGACCTCCGCAACACCTACATGCCTGACTACGATGACCTTACGGTTGGCTACATCATGGACAACAGCCTCAGCTTGTCGAGAGATGAGATGAGCTCCTCTTTAGCAGCTTTGCGACATCTGAGGTATCTTGATCTAAGTGGGAATGACTTCAACGGCGCTAGCATACCTGTGTTCATGGGCTCTATGGAGAACCTAAGGTATCTCAACCTCTCTTCATCACAGTTCAGTGGGAGAATACCTTTCCAACTCGGTAATCTCTCAAAATTGCAATGTCTTGATATTAGTAGCAAGTATGACCATAAAGTGCACACGGCGGATCTTGCATGGTTGGAGAGCCTCCAATTGTTGCGTAATCTTGACATGAGTGGTGCGGACCTCAGTCCTGTGCAGGATTGGGTTTACATGGTTGACATGCTTTCTTCTCTGAGAGTGCTTCGCTTGGTAGATTGTGGCCTTACTAGCACATTGTATGGTCCATCAAAATCAAACCTCACACATCTCGAAATCCTTGATCTGTCATCCAACCTGTTTAAAACATCACTAGAGAACAACTGGTTTTGGAATCTCACAAACCTTAAGGAGCTTCACCTCTCCCGGTGTCAGATGCATGGACCTATTCCCGAAGAACTGGGAAACATGACGTCCCTTCAAGTCATAGATTTCAGTAAAAATGATCTAGTGGGTTTGATACCAAGCAACTTAGAGAAAATGTGCAATTTGAAAGTGTTGATTTTTGATGATAACAACATTAGTGTGAGCATAGGGGAGTTCATAAATCGATTGCCAAGGTGCTCATGGAGTACAATACATGTATTGTCAATGGATAGGATGAATATGACCGGCAAATTACCAATCTTGGTTGGGAACATGACAAGTCTCAGTGTTTTTAAAGCCAGTCGAAACAAGATAGTTGGTACTGTACCACTAGGATATGGAGCACTTGGTAACTTGACAGTGTTGGATATCAGCGATAATAATCTCAATGGTGTGCTTAAGAAGGAGCATTTCTCAGGTTTACTGCATTTAGAGTCTTTGTACATCTCACATAACTCCTTGAAAATGGATTTTGGACAAAATTGGGCTCCTCCTTTTAGACTGAAGGACATAAACTTAGATTCATGCGTGGTGGGTCCTCATTTTCCAGTCTGGCTTAGATGGCAGACCGACATGGATACTCTTTCTATCAGAAATGCAAATTTGGATGATATTATTCCTGATTGGTTCTGGGTGACATTTTCTAGAGCTTACATCTTGGATATATCTGGAAACATGTTGCATGGTTCATTGCCGGCAAATCTACAACACATGTCAGCCGCCCGTATATCTCTTTGGTCCAATAAACTGACAGGTCTGGTTCCATGGCTCCCTATATATATATCCATCTTTGATCTGTCTTCAAACTCTTTCTCGGGGTCACTGCCATCAGAGATAAAAGCTCCATGGCTTGAGGTGTTGTTGCTGGCAAATAATCAAATTACTGGCACCATTCCATCATCTATTTGCCTGTTGACTCGTCTGAGACGGTTGGACGTATCGCGAAACAATTTAACAGGAGATGCTTTGCAGTGCTGGAAGGAATCAGAAAACAATACTTCAGTATCCAGGGCAAACTCTACAGATCAATTTGGTTCTATCATGTCTATTCTAGCCTTGAACAACAATGATTTCTCTGGTGAATTTCCTAAATTTCTTCAGAGTGCCTCACAATTGAAGATCCTTGATCTTTCTTACAACAGGTTCTTTGGAACATTGCCAAAGTGGTTACCAGAAAAAATGCCTGACTTGGAAATCTTGAGGTTGAGATCAAACATGTTCAATGACCTTATTCCTAACAATCTCACTTTCCTTTTACATCTTCGCTATTTGGACATAGCCCATAACAATATATCGGGAACCATACCATGGTCGCTATCAAACTTGAAAGCAATGAGATACATATCTTATAATAGCGATTATGACTATGCTTTTAATAGTCCCGCTTTTGATGAGAGCATGCCAGTAATCACAAAAGGGAAAACACGTGATTATACCTTTGAAATCTACAAGCTACTGGTGATTCTTGATCTGTCATGTAACAGTTTAACAGGACATATTCCGGAGGAGATAAGTTTTCTCATCGGGCTTACCAATTTGAACTTATCAAGTAATCAGTTGACCGGTGAAATCCCAAGCAAGATTGGTGATCTGAAGCAGTTGGAGTCCCTGGACCTGTCCTACAACAAGTTCTCTCATGAAATCCCATCAGGTTTGTCGGCTCTAACCTCTCTGAGCCACCTCAACCTGTCATACAACAATTTATCAGGCGTGATACCATCCGGGCCACAACTGCAGGCTCTCGACAACCAGAACTACACCTACATCGGCAACCCTAATCTCTGTGGCTACCCTCTCTCCAAGAACTGCTCTGCTAGTACTACTGATGCAGAGCAAAGTGTCCATGAAGATGCAGATCATATATCGTATCTCTACCTTGGGATGGGCATAGGATTTGTGGTCGGCCTTTGGGTGGTGTTTTGCACCATATTACTGAGGAGAACCTGGGCGATTGCCTACTTTCAGATCATTGACAAGTTGTATGACGAGGTTTATGTGTGTGTTGCTATAGCTTGGGCTCGCCTGATGAAGTACACCCACGACGACGCAGCGTAAGGAGCCTGCTTCGTGTTCAGCTGAACTGCTCAAGAACTGTATGTTAGTACTTTGGTGTGTGTACTGCTACTGCTATGTACTAATACAGGTGCTACCAGCTACTCCCTCCGTAAACTAATATAAGAGCGTTTAGAATACTAAAGTAGTGATCTAAACGCTCTTATATTAGTTTACAGAGGTAGTACATGTGAAGGCACTTAGCTTGGTATATTAATTGTATGGATTGAATCAAGTCCGAATATTCCATAAATTATATATGAGATATCTTATTCTGTGGATTGATTCCGCATTGTAATCAGTACTATTCTCTATTTTTCAAGGATCATGTTTAATGTGATGTAATATTCGAGTATTAATATCGATCTATACTGCTATGGATACTGAATAATTTCAGATTCAGTCGGCGCTAAAGCCAGTATCACTTATTCATGACTTTCTGTACCCTAAGTTATAAAGCTCACTGGTTAAACATTTATTGGAGTTTGAGCTCCCCGAATCAGTAATGTGTTTAACTCGAGAAGATGGATTGGCAGAGTACGTTTATATGTACTACATTCTTTCCAAAATATATACTGTATTTTGGAACCGAGGTAGTAGTTGACTCACAAAGCAAATTCACCGTGGGCACTTTTGTGACATCTCCTGAAAAATTACTAGGTGTACTCGGTTGCATGGCCGATCTGCTGCCTTGCAGGTTCCTCTGAGCTCTCACCTTATTTACTCGAGCTTCTGTGGCTCACATCCAGTTGATTACATTTACAGCAACCAAGTAAGTACTGGTAGTTGTTGCCTGGAGCTGCTGTATTTCCATTTCCCGGAACAGCCCTCATTCCTCTTGTTCTCTTGGACATCCCATCCCTGCCCACGGACTTTCTCTCGACGGTTTGCATCATGCCCAAGCAGGGAGCGCTGCAGGGCAACACGTACTATCGATGAGGCCATCGCTGGCTGAATATTGTGTGGCCTGCTGAACATGGTGGCACGGTCCTCCAGCCCAGGTAGGCTATCTGGCTACGATCCTGAATCTCCTGTCTACGTTGTTCTACTCTGAGTCTGAATATGAAGTAATAATAATTAAGGGAAATGTACCTAATGTAAGGACCCAATCTCTGAACCTCTGAAGAATTGTTCTCCGTTGTTTCATTTCCAAAAAGAAGAGAGAAGCAACGAGATAAGCTGAGATGACAAGAATGGAAGGTAGAGATTTATAACCGAAGCCATACACTCACGGAACAGGGACCATGTTGCTGACGCCCGATCTCCATCCAATGGTCGCCGTTTAATTACTGTTTCCAGGTGCCATTTATTTGTTGTCCCTGTTGCTCTCCAGCTTTCCGTGTTTTCCCCTTCTATTTTACTGCAATATGCACTATAATGGCTATGTATAAAAGCATTGGGTGGGTCGTCTAGTAATCGGGTTAAACCCTCGCCTCCACTACCGTGGTTCGGCCAACACTTTCCTCTGGGAGCAATACAGATAATCGTTGAACCTGAAAGTTAAGAGCTAGTACAAAGTCGAGGCAGCACTTGATGGTTACTGTCATCTGTGATTCGGCTAATACGCAAATACACATATAGCCAGTATTATGATGGCAGTAGCAAGTGTGTGGATTCTATATATCTATGTTGCCAGTATTGCAACCGAATAATAACAAGGCTCTGCGATGAACAGGGTTATTACCTGGACAGCAGTGGGCTTCCTGAACTGCACCCTGCCTGCACATATAAATGAGTCAATGTTATATCTTAGGTTTCCAGCAGAATCATGCATATTATCTCTTTAAACTTGTTTCTTTTTTATCTTAGATCTCCACAAGCTCCGTCCCAAAATAAGTATCTCAACTTTGTACTAGCTCTAGTACAAATTTGTACTAAGCTCAAGACACTTATTTTTGGACGGAGGGACCGAAGGAGTATGATGTAGGGTAGAACCCTAGATGCCCGATCATTCACGATTGGAGGGGATCCTACGAAGAACACGAGGGGAAAAACGAGGGGAACACGAGGGGAAACACAAGAGAAATCACTCAGCCAACAAGATATGGTCACACATATGCTAGATCCTTGAAACAGAAAGAGATACACGATCCGAATCCAACAAGGGACGATAGAAGTGGCGGCAGTTCTTCTCCGTGAGGAGGTCTTGAGGGGGTCTTCCCGTAAAGGGGTCTTGAATCCGCTTGGGGGATCTTCTCCGAAGAGGTCGTGAACTCCAACGGAGAAGTAACCAAGTGGATGAGCAAAGCTGTCACACAAATATGAGCTAACCCTAGCTAGGAGGAGGTAGGGGGGTATTTATAGTCTAGGTCCACGAAGGGGTAACTGGAGAGGGATACATGGGCCTCGGGCCCGATCTCTGTGCGCAGACAGGCGTTGGATGTCCGACGACTATCGATCGTCCGGTCGCTCGAGGGTGTCATGTCTCACATGTGGAAACTGACGATTCAGAGAGAAGCGAGTTCACCTTGTGTCCAATGGCATATGTTCAAGGTCTCGTCATATGTCCTCATGGGGCTTGGAGAGTAGTCGGAGCGTACATGGGGATGAACATGGGGATGAACGTGGGATGCTCCGCATCAGAGTATATCGTAGATCTCCACAAGCTCTCCAGACTATTGATCCTGAATTTGAATCAGTTCTGAGTCTTAATCTGAAGTAACAACAATTAAGGGGAGATGGTTGAAAAGAAAGATGGACACTGATCGATGCTAGAATAAATTGAATTTGTACTGGTAACTAACTAGCACTTGAGCAGCAATAGTTGTTTGTACGGTTACTGTAGTATATAACCAGTACTGGCAATTAAGATGGTATCAAGTGTGTGGTTGGAATCTATGTACCTAGGAAAGGAATTAGTTCACGGAACGAAATTAATCTGAAGTAACATTACCCTCACTTTATTGGAAAATTTATTGTTGTAGATGAGCTGTTGCAAAGCTCGTTCGCCAAGAACGATAGCAGTATGGTGGTCTCTCATGCGCTGCTGGTTTTTCTCAGTTTATTCTTGGCACATTTTCTCCTCTTCTTTTGCAGACATGCAAAGGCTTGTGCGTTGTTTCTTTTTTTTTTTGCGAGATTGTGCGTTGTTTCTCCAAGAAGATGAGGCTAATATTAATGCCGCTCTCTTTCACCATGACTATGTTGGCATTTTTCTAGCACGAGTCTCACCGTGGCGCTTGGTTTTCTCATGAAGTTTAGTCTTGTCGTTCCATCTCCTTGTCTTGTAAATGTTCATGCCTTATCGACTTCACTGTTGTCGTGCAATATTCCGACAGCCAAGCGCGTGGAGCATAGATTGAAGGAGGCTTTTGGTGAGTTGCCAGAGGTGAGTAAGGAGGAAGGGAAGAAGAACAAGACGAAGGCCTGTGTTGATTTGTACAATAAGCCGCTTTCATCGCAAGCGATTGTGGCGATCTGACCTTTGGCGGGCATCAATGGTAAATCAAAGGGGATCACTGCTAAATGTTACTTTATGTTGGTTCGATACATAGGCAGTCGAGAGGCTCGGGGTGTTTGAGATGTCTTGCGAGTATGGTGGTGGTGTTGGACCTCGGCGCTCTTGTGTCAGGCTCAGACGATGTTCCATGAGTTTGTGCCCTTATGTGTCCGTCTAAACCCCTTCCTCTAGCTCTAGTTCCTGTTTCTTTTGTGTTTGTGTTTGTTTTTTTCCTTGGTTTTCCTTAATTAACCGAGATGTGCATGGTTTTCAGATCGGGTTTCCATCATTAGCTGGATCAACTCTTCTTCTTACTGCAATCGCGGGAACTCCTCGCCCTCTGATGAGGTCCTGTCAAAAAAATCATCTTCATTAAGGTGTTCTCACCTCTTGTCTTCCAAACTAAAGTTACATCTCAGACATTTATTTGTCACAAATTTATTATTCTCCACTTGGATGGAAAAGTTTCACTTAATTCTGGCCAAATGCGTATCTAAAATATATCACGTCGTTGGAGATGGACACTGATGCTCTAAACCTAGTCGAGGCCGCTGAAGGGACAAAATGATCTGGTACCATATGAAGTCTTTTTGAAAGAGATAAGAGCCCAAGCTCATGGCCCCACACATTGGCTTGATGGCAATGGCAATGTCGCTTGCGTGGTTGGCCATAACAGTTGTACTTTGAATATAGGTGGGATTTAATACTTTTTTGAGTTAAGATATTGAAGAGTAACATGCTAAATGGTGCTATTGAAAGCTGGCAATGTGACCAAGGTAGATCGTTCATAGGCCAATGGAGTTGTCAAATTTCTCACAGATTGTGACAAGTGCTTTAATATACACGTAAAGCAATATCTTAAATGATTACAAGACATATTTTGGCATGTAGCAATCTTGAAACTATAAAAATCAATTCCATTGGACAATTCTTTCTGCAAGAAACTATTGATTCGAATATTTTAAACATTATAGGGGTGAGTATCTCCGACGCTAAACCTTTCAGGACAATTAAAACAACGACACCTAAGTTTCGAAGGTCTTTCTCTTATTTCTCTATCGTTCTTTCTCATATTAAACTAGTCCCACGGCAAGTCTTTGTTAAGTAAAAGAAAGAGCTTATTCGGTAGAAAAACAACCTTTTTCGGTAATAAAAGAAAGAGAGCAAAGCCTACTTAACCAATTTAGGTAGGCGAATAATAACTTTATACTAACAAGGTGACCTACTCCCACTAGAGTATGTCACATAGGTAAGTACTGCTAACTAGCGTCATTTTTTTGAGTTTATAAAAGTGGGACTCGTACTCGTATATTTATGCACACATCAGTTAGATGAATATGGAAGCTCCAGCCGGTGAAATACTCCATGAGAGTCTCATTTTTATTGGTAATCATGATTATCACGTTTAACTATGGTGCATAAAGAAACTTCAGTGTGACTATATTAATAATTTAATCTGATTGGACGGACTAAAATTAATTGAATACGCCTCCATGGAAATATACCTTAGTCCATCACCCCATCTCACTCCCCATGATCTAGCTCTGCCAAGAAGCTTGGGGTC